TTTTTTTTTTTTTTTTTTTTAAACAGACTCTACCACTGTATTCCATTCTGTCAAAGAGACATTCCATGCACTGTCTGCTGGCATTGGTGATGCTTATGCCTGTCCATCTGCTCCTGCCATCAATCTTACAGCTAAGAAATCCAGTGCTGAAGTTACTTTGACTAGATTTAAGTTTCAACCCTTTGGTGTAAAAAGTGGGCATTTTGGCAATGGTAGGAATTATTTTTTTCTGTGTTTTGTTCTAACTGGCAACTATGTAATAAGCATTAGTTAATGGATCCCACAGGAAGCTTCCTTGTTATTTGTAAAGGAGAATGAAATGCTTGATGACTAGTCACAAGGAGCTCTGGATCAAACCAAAAAGTAACTTAAGCATCAAAATCATCTTGTAGCTGCTCAAAAATTCAAATTGATGGTTATTGTAGAGTTTGTATAACTAATTATAAAGACTCTCTCACTGCCCAGCAACATGTTTCTTAATGGTGGGCATGATTTGCTATTCTTTTATGTACATTTTAATTGGCCTACTTGGCCTTGCTTTTCAGTGAAAATTCTGTAATGTTTTTAAACATGTTGTGGAGGCCAAAAAAGGCTAATTTACTTGAATATGAAATGATAGCAATTCAGCCCACCCTTAGTGTAAGAGTCGACAAATTACGGGGTAATGTACTATTATCAACTGAGTTGACAACGTAAATTGGCCACCATAAAAAAGATTTTTAAAAGCCAGTTAATACTAACTTACCCTGTTATACTCTCCTGCTGCTGCAACACCATAGTGTCTACCAACTTACCCCTTCTATCAAGAGTACAATATGTTTCTCATTTAAGAATCTGATTTGATTCTACTATTATTCTACTCCTCTACAGTGACAAATTGTGTTCTCCCAACGAGTCCAACTGCATCTCCGTCTACAAGTCCACCGAAAACAAAGCAGCCGAATAGGCACACGGTAGCCATTGCAGTTGGGTGTTCATTGGCTGGGCTTGCTCTTGTTGTTGTCATTGGCTACTTGATTTGGCGACACTGTAGCCGCAACAATCAAGGAGGATACCGCAAGTTGTAATGCACTGCAAGAATGATAGCCCGCAAGCATTTATTAAGGTGCATCATTAGTTATTTTTGATAGATATGGTGAGGAAAATTAGTGTAATTGTAGTACGTATAATGGTACCCAAATTCAGGAGATAAAGTAACTTTAGGGAAAAGAGATTGTAGTCGTTCATCCAGGTGAATAAACTTGTTGTAAAGTATAACTGTATATCAAGTTGTAGTCACTTCCAATGTGGAAGGAGAATAAGAAGTTTTTAGGAATAACAAACCTTTAAAAGGTGTATGTTAGGTTAGTGGGTTTGAATAAGTATTTTGATGAAATCATTGAGTTATAGGTTTTAGAACTAAATACTTCACATTAATTAAAAGTGACAATACTGTTTTTCTTTTTTTTTCTTTTTTTTTTAGTTTGATCCTAAAAATGTGCCACTGTAGGTTATAGTAAGGTATAGGGTTCAATATTTTCCTCGTCATTTTTAATCTTAATCAGTAAATAAGTTACTGAAGACCGTGCCTGTTACATGATGGTTTGGTAGTTTTATGACAGGAAGAATCAATAACTAGACCTTGGAAGTTTGAGGGCCTTGTCCCTGGGGACCCTGAGTAGGATAGCCATTGGGTGCATTGGGGTCAATGATTTGCATATTCTGGAGTAATGAAATCGCATAGGAGTTACAAGGAATGATACGTTTTCAATACTCTGAAACTCTGTATTGATTTAGGCTTGACAACTAGCCGCTGTACGGGAAATTAGCCTATGGCGCTATTTCTTCTCTCCGTAGAAGCAGACTCTGGTAAATTAAGTATCGCTACAGTCTTCAAACTACCTCTTACGCATTAGGTAATTAGTTATCAACGGAGCCAGACGTTCCCAAACAAAAGATAAATGTTTGACGAAAGGGAGGATCTTCCAATATGTCACGCCTTAGAAAGTAACATTTCGGTGGGTCACGTTTTGTTTAGGTACGTCACAGGTCACTTCCGGAGCTTAACAATAGTCTAGTATTTCCCGCTATCATTATTGTCTTATCTCCCTTAGAGAGCAGTGAAGATATGATTAAAATGGTTTCGCACAAAACAGTGAAAGTTGTCGATCAACAACACAGTAGCTCTTAAGTGGCCGTGTTCTTACCCTCCTTTTCCGATCAGCTTCTCTCAAAAAACTTTTTTTGGGGAGCCATTGAACGCTCTAGAGAAGAGAAGGATTTTTAAATACGTTAATGATTACTTTGATAAGTTTTCTTTGTTCCAAATGCTTTCGGTTCCATGGGCTAAAATTAGTTCGAAACTGTTTCGGTTCAAATATATATATTCTTTATGTTCTCGAATGGAAATTCAATTTTAAGTATTCTTCGAGTCAGGGTTGAAATTTTTTCTTTTACTTTTCACGAACAAATTACTTGTGCTGGATTTTGATACAATTCATAGGTGTGGGTCGGGTATTATCATTAAACCTCACTTGACGTAACCCGCTAAAATACGTGAGGTAAGCATCAGCTGATACTTCTCACGTCTGTTTGAATGAGGTTTCATGTTCAGTTTTTCTGTACCCTTCGAAGCTTTTAATTACCGCAAAGAGGATAGCACAGGTGAAGTTTTTTTTAAAATGATTTAAAAACCCTTACCTTCGAATAAAATTGTGTTCCGTGGCTTGGATTTCGACACGCGCCCATGTGGACGATATTCTTCGTCAACATTGTAGCAAACAATAGCGATTACGTCGTGCAAAACACGTGTGTTTTCGACAGTCTTGCGTCAGATACACACCCTGGTTACCACGGTAACAATACCACTTATTGTTCAAACTCGCCAGTGATTGGTGCGGTGTGACGAGAGTATCTATTTTTGGCATGAAAATTTCCCCGGCGAAGTGTATTCAAACGCGAATGTTCCTCAACAGCTTTCAATATAAATAGACCAATTCTCAGTGTAGGGAATTATTATTCACAAACTTTTTAGTCCTTGGTGACCAGAGGTAATACAGTGTTTTGCCTTAACGAATAGAATTATCTTTGTAATAATACCGCTTACTCCGGGAAGGAAAAACGTATTGGGGCTACGCTACTTAAAAGAAACGTTGCCAAGAAATTAACCGAGTCAACAAACATGAAAGAAGAGGTTTGCTCGGCCATCAAGTTCCTCTCGGAGGTTCTTTCAAGGAACTCAAAAGTAAACCAAGAACAGATTCAAAAATTTAAGGACACATTAGAACAATTAATCACTGCGAGATTCGAGAACCACTGGCATCCGAAGAAGCCGTTGAAGGGAAATGCATTTAGATGCATCAACATCGATGAGCTAACAGGCATCGACCCAGTGCTACTGACAGCGACGAAGGCGAGTGGAATATCACCTTTAGTTCTGTTAGAGCTCTTCCCAGGCGGACTAGCATTGTGGATTGACCCAGGAGATGTGTCTTGTAGAATAGGAAAAGGTTCGATTTGTCCGATTTATTGTAAAATCCCTCAACAACAACACCATCAGCCGCACCAGCAATTTACTAATCACTCTCAAAGGCATCTTCAACCCTTTTACTTCAACACGGATTATCGTCAATGCTCGCAGTTCAACAATAAGCAGATACTTTCCGCAAGAAGCGTTAATAACAAGGAAAACTTCGATAGGTATCATTGGATCAGCAAGGACTATTTTAAAAGACCCACGGAGGTATTTTAAAGCCATAGAGATCTCTGAACACATGATCCACCAACCCATTGGACCGGACTTGCATCGCGTTTGCCATACACACGAACTTTTAAATTACGTTTAGAGTAGAATGTTTTTAATGTTTCTTGTACATAGCTAAACATTTTCTATGTACAGAATTATCTTCGAATTTATTAGGGCTGGTAAATGGAAGAATTTTTACGTCTATTTTACGCCACTTACTGGGAATGGTTTAATTAAATTTGTAAATTTGTACATGTACAATTGTGAAATAGATTACGGAGCTTCGCAAGGAGCGGAATTGGAAAGAAATTAGCCCAGAGTTTCATATTTTGTACTGATACAAGAGTTCCGTGTCGCATAGTTTAATAAAAATATTCATTTGTTGAAATATTATATCAAGTTTAGCGTGTTTTATTTTGTATGTAATTCATCGACAGTGTGACATCATACACTTGAAATCGCGTATTTCTAGTTTGAGCCAGTAACTCAAAATCAAAATTATGCTTAAAATATTTGTGCGGAGGGGAAGTATTCCAACCGCGTGGCAAGAAGAAAACAATATTCCAATAATTTTTAAGATATTATTTTCTATGTGTGTGAACCAATGAAAGGGTATTTATGGCTCAAACGGTACATCAGGGAAATGTCAGGATTAATGAGCAAAATTTGAGATTATCTTTTCTTTCCCAAAACAGAGACAAACATTGGAGATCAAAAAATAAACAGTAAGATACTAGAACTTCTCTTGTGACACATCTTCAAAGTTGTTTCTGAATTAATCTTTGTTGAAGAAATACTAGTACATATCTTAAGAATAGTTTTAGAATTAGATTAAAAATAAATCCATGAAGATGAAAATAACTGGTAACAATGACACAGAAAAGTTTTTTTGAAGCAACTGTCAAACATTGCAGACTTGCTGATGGACAATGATTAAGGTGTGTTTGGTGGAGGCTCCTGACTGTCCTTATCAAGCAGACCTGATCCCTAGTTCACCTGCTCGTATGAATGACAGAGTTTTGCTAATAAATATAATACGGGTAGCCACTTGGGTAATATGTCTTCAAATGTAAGGTTGAAGACTCCTCATAAGGAAATTATGATGAAACACTTATGTCTTAAACATTCTCATGCATTCAAGAGCTACAAAGTGCTTTTCAAAAGATTGCACTCACTTCTTTCATGTGCAAACAAAAACTGGGAAATATGAATTTTTGCATGTCTTGTAAATGAGCAGCTGGTGAAATACAACATGATTTTTCTTTTATGTTAATATAAAGAGCACTAATTTCATAATCACTCAAATGATAAACAGTTGAAATGATTATCATTTTATCACCTGGTTTTAATAATGTACACAAACAAGTTTGTTACATGAATATAAATTTTTCAAATTTTGAAGATAAATATCACCCATTTTGGGTAATGTTGTTTTGTTACCAACATGAAATATTATTTTAAAACTTTATCATCTTTTCAGAAGTTGCCATAAAAAGTGTCACTTAAACTTTGGGTTTATCTATAAAACACAATCTTTCTCTTGTCATTCGTTCCATGACTATTGCTTTACACGTTTGGTTTCTCTACCAAGGGTCAGGTGAACAAAAACATCAGGGGATCTAATGTAGCAACATCAGACTGTATCTGTACCACTTACTTAAACAGAGGTAAAACTTTGATTGTGTACTTTGTAAAAGGTATAAAAAGACTTCTGTCCTTGGCATTGACTTGTCCTTCAACAAAACGAAAGGAAATCCTCACCAGAATCAAGGGAGGGTTTTTGTCGTAAGTCTGGTTTGTAACTGATTTAGTCTATGGGCGATTTGTAACTGATTTAGTCTATTTAGTCTATCTCTTTCCTCTCCCTCTGAACCTAGTTAATTGTGACCAGCCCTCAGAACAGGTGTTATTCATATATTTTACATTTCTATTACTTATTTCTTTATTTGTATACTTATTCATCATTTATTTATCTATTCGCTTTTACTGCAAAGTTCAAACGAGCAGAGGTGAACGCGTTCTGACGGCTCTTACACGTGACCCTCAAAATTGGAAAATTGATAAAAATGGCGACTCTTCTGTAGGCCTTATGTGTGTGATATCCAGTTTTTAATTTATTATAGGTGTCCATTATTGGAAGAAGTGAATGAATTATCTCTTTAATTGCTGGGAGGTACAAGTCTTGGCGATTTTATAAAATCATGTTTGTATTTACAAATGCAAAGTAAGAAATCTTGGGTCCTTGCCACCTTGAAAGAGAGGAGCAGCCACGGTAACTGTTGCTCTTTGAATTATTTGCCATCTGAGCGCGTGGTATGTTTGAACATGTTTCCGAACTGCAGCGGACAAATCACGAAGCTAGGAAACAAATCCATACACTACAGCAGGCCAATCATGGGTAAAATTATTTTTTAAGCAGATTTTTAGCTAAAAATTGAATAGGGAACTTATCCCACGATTGTGACAAGACGAAGAAACATCTGTCTTTCTTAGAAATATCTGTCAAATATCTAACACAAGTTAGGGATACTAACTGAGTAGAATTTTCGAGTTTTTTGGTTAATGCAGGGGACCGGGCACTAGCACCTTGCGCCGAATTACACGAAGTACTAGGTATATGAATTGCTAGTTACACGAAGAGGTGATCCAATTGTTACATCAAAGATGGTGGACGAGGCAACAAAGAAAACAGTAGCATCTATTCCTACCTTGAAAACCAAAGCTGGTCCTCGTGATGGCGATCCATGGGTTCAGAGGTTAAAAGAGGAATATATGAGCTTAATTAAGGTATATTATGTTGAATCGTGACCTCAATTGTAGCCAATGGAATACTGGACCTTCTAAGAAGAGTCATGGGTGACGGCTCTACAGATGTGAAATCGGAAGCCTTTGTTACTCTTGTCCACCCGCCGTCAGAATATGCCCGTTCTGCATAGAACTTTTATACTAAACGTAATACTAACACGATTGAAATGGTTCAACATAGGGCAGCTAGATTTGTCTAACATGGTTATTCTAGATTAAGTCATGTTTCCCCTATGATTAATCAACTCGGGGG